CCCCCCAGCCCCGCCAGCAGGCCAATGGCGAGCACGGATCGGAGTGCAGCGGCCATCGCCCTTGCTGCCGTCCAGAAATCACTGATGCAGACTGATCAAGCAGGCGAAACGTTGTCTGCAGCTGGATGCCATTGCCGGTCAACAGCAGTGCTGTCGGCTTCGCTTGCCCGGCATCGGTTTAGCCATTTTCTGCAACAGAAAACGGGGTTTAGTCAACAACTCCCCGGTTGAACGCGTGGGCCCCAAAAGTTTAAAGGGCTTTTTGTGGCGTTTTACTCCTCCAAATCCTCTCAACTACCCCCCAGTTTGCGATTTACGAATGGTTTTGCTGCGGGTGAACATGGAGCGCATCCGCCATTTAGTCCAGCAGTAACATTTTTCCGCGTCAATTTGAAACAATTTCCCAACAAAAACCGCCCAACGTTTGTGCTCCAGTTCTCTGCAGAGGTTCCTGCTGTGGCATCAGGCAGGGAGAAGGAAACATTAGTGCGTGGTTGACAAAATGGTGAATGCGCCCAGAAAACAAAAAGTTCAAAACTAACAAAAATTGGGTAGTTTTAAGGAAGGCACCGGTTTGAGGGGCTCAAGGCTCGCTCAACCGCAGCTGAGCTGGAGTTGAGGGGGTTGTGAGTGGTTTCGTTGCAGAACTGGAGGAATTTTTGCAAGTTTTGAGGGCCCCAGCGGCCAGAACGGGGGGCTGAAACAAAAAAACGGGAGAAAAGCGCAGTTTGGATGTGGATAAAAATTTCTCCCGGGGTTGGAGGGACCAAAAGGGAAAAACGGCTTTAGCACAAAATGCCCCCAAACCCCCCGAACTGAACGCGATGGACAAAATGCGAGCACGCCACTGGTTAGAGCAGGCCAAAGGCCATAAAAGCCCGCCAGTAACGTTTCCGCTCAACCCCCAAATAAACCTGCGGCACGCAAAAATCTGTGCCCCACTCGCCCCCCCGACCCCAAGCAGTTTCCTTACGTTTCCACGGCTGCACCGCTGGCCACCAAGCGCGGGAACCACACAGGACAACTCTGATGATGGCCCGTCCGAAACGTAGTGCGCGTAGGTCACGTTTTGGGTCCCGAACCCGGATCTCGACCCCTTTGAGCGCGCTCCTCTCCTCCTCCGAGATGCGGATTCGACTGCGGCGGGATCTCGAGGTCGCATACGCGCGCAATGGAGAGCAGCTGCGACGTTGCCGACTCCACTGTTTATCGGGGGTGGTGTATTTTCGGCTTAAACCGCGATTTCCCTGACCCTCCGCACGCCAAATGCCTACGAGAACGTTAAAAATAGCACGCGCATACGCTGTTTGGGCCCCCGCTCCTCCGTGGAGCCTCCAAGGAGAAAACACCCCGGAGACTTTTTGGAGAAGCGCCCATTATCTACCCAAGGAGGCCTCAGGAGTGAAAATTGCTTTAAAACCAAGCCCGCAATGAGCAAACGAAGTTTGCTTCAGCGCAGCTTGACGCTTCAACTGAAGGGCATCTTCGGGGGGCCCCAGAGCCCCACCCGAGGAAACCCCCAAGAGATCATTCAAAGAGGGTTTCATTGTCTACACAACGGCGCCTCTAGAGTAAAGTTTGCTTGAAAACCAAGCGAGCAAAGAGCAAACGAAGTTTGCTTCAGCGCAGCTTGACGCTTCGACTGAAGGGCATCTTTGGGGGGCCCCAGAGCCCCACGCGAGCCCCGCCCGAGGCAACCCCCCAGAGATCATTCAAAGAGGGTTTCGTGGTCTACAAAACGGCGCCTCTAGAGCGAAGTTTGCTGGAAAACCGCGCTGACAATGGCCAAAACAAAAGTCCCCACATTTGTCAAAAACCGCAAAAGATGACAACCCTGTTCTGCCCGTAGCTCCCAGACTATTAGCGCGATGGAAAAACTTCCTGGACCGCAATCGAGGAGCTTGAAAAGGGCAAATCGGCCCTCGAACAGCGTAGTTACGAGCGAACAAAGTTTCAATCAGCGGGAGTTTGGAAGTTCCCACATTCCGAACGCCGCTCTCTATCTGGTGCAGCCGACTAGTCTGGGAGCAGCATCCCGTGCGAAACCTGCGCGTTGCCGCCTATTGATTGGGTCGGTGCCCGGTTGCCGCTCCGCTAAATTGTACGGAAAGTGGGGAGTTCTCAGCCAGTGACAAAAACCCATAAATAACGGGACACTAATGGATTCAAAGCCGGAAAACCGACTCCCCAGTCAATTATGTATATGGATTCCATTGGAATGGCATTAATGGAAAGTCGGCGTCTCTCCATTGATCGTCACGTGGCAGCCGGATGATAAACGATCAGCCGAAACAAGTAAACGAGCGTGTTTGGTGGAGTTTTGCCACGACGGCGTTGAGTTGATGACTTCTAATTAAAAGGGGGGCCGGAAACCACCCCACAACCCCCGAAAACCTCATTGGATCAGCCCGAACTGGCCCAACAACAACAGAGATGATGGCGATCCGGCCGGGAAACATTAATAAAACCTTGGCCCCAGTGGATTTCCATCAGAAGGCTGCAATTTCCCCGAGGAAAATCGTAAAAACAGATCAGTTTCGTCAGGCGTTGCTTGTGCCGGCCGTAAATTCCGCATTTTACGGCCAAAATGCCGATAAAAGAACGGCTTTGACCTGGCCTGGATGGCGTGCGCCAACCGACCACACGCCACAAATTGACCGGCAAAATGGCGAGTGTTGGTGCGGACCGTCTGCGAATCGGTTGCCAATTCATGGAAAATGCCGACAGCAAAAGTCCATTTCAGCACATTTCACTGTCGAGGGCTTAGCGACCGATGGAAATATGCTGGCGACAATGTTGCCAGCCCCCCGCTGAGAGATTTACAGCGCGATAACTCCCCAACGGTTCGACCCATCACTAACAACCACTGGACTAAAGGGTGCAGAAATTCCCCAACAATCGGGAAATTTCAGAGATGGCAACATTGCAAACAAAGTGCTTCTGCATTCACGCAAAACTCTGCCAAACTACTGAGTTTACCCCTGGTGAAACTCAGTTTCTAATGAAAACTCGTCTCAAAACGATGACCAACCACAAAACGGTGAAAAAATGCGGTGTTGCCACGCAAAATAGTCGGTTTTCGGGAAATTCAATGGTTTATGTCGCCAAAACTCCCCAACGGCGCCCGTTACCCCTAACATCCACTGAACGAAAAATGTTCGCAGTTTCCTTGGAAACCAGAAAATGCCACACATGGCAACATTGCCGTGGCGGAAGGCGTTTTTGCAAGAACACTCTTTAACTATCAACATTCAATATGGCAACCTTGCAACGGAAAATCTTTTAAATGCCCTGGACAACTAGAAAATTGCTCAGTTTTTCCMAGATTKTTGGATGTCAACATTGACTCGGACCATTCAGACTTCACAGGCCGAAAACTCCCCAACGAACACCGTTAGGCAAAAACCCTACAGAACAAAAAATATTCACAGTGTCCCAAACAATCAGAAAACAACTAGAAATTGCGACGTTGCCAAGCAAATTGCCCAGTTTTTTCAAGATTTTTGAATGTCGACATTGACTCCGACYATTCAGMCTTCACAGGCCGAAAACTCCCCCAACGAAGACMGTTACGCAAAAAACTTGCGGGACAAAAAATCTTCACAGTGTCCCAAACAATCAGAAAACGCCCAKAAATTGCGACGTTGCCAGGCAAAATGCCCAGTTTTTCCAAGATTTTTGAATATCGACATTGACTCCGACCACTCAGACTTCACAGGCCGAAAACTCCCCAACGAACACCGTTACGCAAAAAACTTGCGGGACAAAAAATCTTCACAGTGTCCCAAACAATCAGAAAACGCCCAGCAATTGCGACGTTGCCGGGCAAATTGCCCAGTTTTTCCMAGAYTTTTGAATATCGACATTGACTCCGACCACTCAGACTTCACAGGCCGATAACTTCTTAACGACGCGAGTTATCGAAAAAAACTACTGAACCAAAAAGCTTCAGAATTCCCCCAAACAACGAGAAAAAGCCATTTGACTGGAATCAAGCGACGCAAAACACCGGGAGTGTTGAACAGCAACTAATACAATCGCCCGGCCGGTTCCACTCGAGGGAACTTCGCACCCTCGCCCCCTTTGATCATAGGAAACCAAGCGTCAAATTCAGCACAATTTTATTCCTCAATAGACAAACAGCTTCACATGTGACTGAAATCGGTGAGAAACTTCCGCACATTGAAGCCCACCATCCTGGCAATCGTCTGGATCGTCTCAAAGTTGACGTTGCACTTGTACTTGCGCTCATCCAGGCTGCACTCGTCGGAGGCGAGCGAGAGCAGCTGCAGCTGCACCAGGCTGGACACCTGGATCAGAAGGTGGTTGTTGAAGCCGACCTTGTCCTCCAGAATGGAGTAGAAGATGGCCAGCAGCCGATCCAGAGTGAAGGCCTTCGGCCCGATCTGCGTGTTCAAATGCGCCGACGGCTTGTTCTTCCGCTCGATATCGTGCCGCGTTTTGCGCTTCTTCCCGTGGAACTTCATGAACAATCGCTTGTCGTCCGTGCTGGAATTGTAGCTGGCCAGATAAGCGGCGATCAGCAGATACTTGGAGTAGAACGGCAGCTCCAGGCCCTGGCCTGGATGCTTCGAGCTGACGCGCAGATACAGCACGGAGGTGGCCGCGTTGAAGATCGGCGCGATGCGCTTCCACAGCGCCAACGAGTCCTGGGCGCGCAGCTGCTGATCCAGCACCGGCTGGCAGTACTGCGCAAAGTGCTTCCTGCTCATGTGGCGCAGCTCGCTCAGATCGCGGCAGGCCCGATAGAACACCGGCAGGAACACGCTCAGGTAGCTGCGGTGGAACTCGCGATCCACCTGCACAGCGCTCAGCTGCTCCGCGTGCGGAAAATCCAGCTGCAGAATGTCCAGCAGCTGCTCCATCGAGTACTGGGGAAAGTGCACTTTGAGCGGCTCGCTCAGGTTCAGCTTATGGTAGTACTTCTCGAAGGCCACTTCCGACAGCAAAACCACCGACACTCGCACACGCGTGAGCTGGCGCAGCCCCAAAAACCCGGCCAGCACGTTCGCCTCCATCTTCCGCAGCTCTTCGGCGTGCCGCAGCACCACCACCGACCCGTCCAGGCCCTCAATGCGCCCCAACTGGCCCACAAAGTCCATCAGGTGGTCGCAGGCCGCGAACGGCGCCCCCACCGCTGGATCCACCCGATGTCCGCTCAGCTGGTTGAGCACCAGCTCGAACAGCACCTTGCTGCTGTAGCACTCAACGAGATCGACCAGGGCGTGCCGGATCCGCAGGGCCCCCAAAAGGCCGCTCACTATGGCGCACTTGCCGCTGCTGGGGCCCCCCCGGATGTAGACAGCGGGCGGGTAGGGCGCCGCCCTGAAGTAGGCGAGCAGTTGCGCGATTTGGGGCTCCCTGCCCGGGAAGGACTTGCTCAGGGCGTCCATCTGATGGGTTTGTGAGGTTATGTCGGCCGGGCGACGATTCTACTGCTTTTATAACGCGGGAAACTGTGCATGTACTTATATAGATAAAGACGAGTACTTACCCAACATGGGGGCTGGCCCCCCTGCGCCGCAACTCGCCCCCTGAGCACAAAAAAGCCGTTAAAACACTTCGTGTTACCACCAAAGAACGCTGACACCATGACAACTGGAGTTGCGCAACATGGCCCCGAGATGGCGCCAGCCAGTGCCGCCTCCCAAAGTCCCCGAAGGGGAAAAACCACCCAAAACTCACTCAATCGAACAGTTTATTTACACACAATTGCAACAGTTTCAGCCGCATTGGCTACGCATGCATTGCTCCAATAAAACAGTGAGCAAAGTGGCGCCCTCTAGGGGGCATGTGGCCAGGCCGGCCAAGCGTGACTATTGCACGCCGTTTCGCATCAATTGCACTCGCCAGTGGCGTTCGTCAGGTATCCGCATAAAAATAGCTGGTTGAGCACAGACAAAAAACAACAGTAACTAGACTAAACTAGAAAAAAAACAACAATCACAGATATGCGCTGGTGGGCTGGTCGGAGGTCGACTCTGGCCTGGCTATTTTTTCCGGCGATTCGGGCAAAAGTTGAAGCGCGGAAACAGGAAGCAGTGCAGCGACAGGAACCTGCAACAACGCAGACCGGTCAATAGAGGCCGCCAGCGGCTACAACTCGCCGCGCGTACCTGTTCTGGTCGAATCTCTCGTCGATGCCGTCGATGCGCACCACGTTCCACTCCTCCTTCAGCTTGGCGTAGCTGAACGAGATCTGAAAGGCGAAAAAGGCGAAAAAAATTAATTAAACCTCGAGCCACACGCGGTTACAGGAAGCGATAAATCGGCCGCGGCCGGTTGGCTTTAATAAACACGCTAATTAAACGGGCGACCAGGTGAACCGTGTCTGAACCAGACGGGGGGGAATTTGGACGATCCCCAACTTGAGAAGCAAAAAACGGCGTTGCCGATGTGCCTAAAATGTAGTCACAGCGCGGACGCAATCGGTACTTGCCTGTTGCTCAATCAGGTCCTTGCGGATGAACTTCATTGGCTCCAAGTGCGAGTGGAACTCATCAATCACAGTCAGCGGCTTCTTGATCAGATGCTCTGCAACAGATAATTAGAAACATTTGGGTTCCGGTCAGTCTGACCAATCAAACGCCATTACCAATGATGTAACCCATGGTGACGTCGTCGGGCAACCGGATTCGTTCCCCAATGCTGATGAATTTGCCGTCGCTGTGAACAAAAGCTCGAACTCAATGGTTTTGTTTGGTGGATAAGCCTTGGGGGTGGGGGGGATGAGGAGGAAACAATCTCCCGCTAAAAGCTGTTTCGTCGTAAAACATGCCTGCCAGCGACGTTGGCTTTTCCGGATGAAACTTCGGGCGTAATGGGAAAAAGTGGCAGCCCGAGTTGGGGAGATTCAGGGCGATTTTACGCCCAAACTCCCCACGGTGACGACCGAACAATGCATTTCCTGGATAAATTGGGGCTTTCTGCGGCTTTTATCAAGAGCGACTTTTTTCGATTGGGGGCCCCGTTTGGGCGCAAAAATTAACTCTCCTAATCCAGCGCAATTTTGGGGAGATTTTTCCATTTTTTCTAGAAAATTTTCAAAAATTTTGCGCTTAAAACCCGCGCAGATTTTCGATGCCTCAGAAAATCCCCATGCAGTTGCCCCGGAGGGGAAACGAGCAAAAAAACGCGGATTCTGGCGGATTACAAACCTGCCCGCCTGAAGATGGCCAACATTGTGCAACTCTGTAGAGTGGGGGAGGCGTTATATGCAACTTCGGTGGAGACGGCCTGGGGCTACCTGCACCCCAAAAAGGGCTGGGGCCGCTCACTGGGGGGAGTTCTCGTTGTTTGCCAAAGCTTTAAAACCTCATTTTCTCCCAAACTATTCAAGGAGGATTTTTGAAAAAATCCCCAAAAAATACCTTGGGACCTTCCGAACGTTTCATCAAGAGCGACTTTTTTCGATTGAAGGCCCCGTTTGGGCGCAAAAATTAATTCTCATAATCCAGCGCAATTTTGGGGGGTTTTTAGTTTCTTTCTGGCAAATTTTGCGCTTAAAACCCGCCCAAATTTTAGATGTTTCAAACGCGCAGAAAAACAAGGATTTTAAAGCATTTGTAGGCGTGGCCGCTTGAAACCAGCGTCCAAACCAGCCTCAAATCGGGCAACTTTCGCACTCCAAAACGTCTTTTTGAGCGTCTCGGTGCATTTGAACGCCAACTCGACTCAATCGGATGGGAGGAAGGAAATTTTTTTTTTGGCCCAGATTTAGGGGAGTTTTCGCCTTGAAATCGGAAAATCCCCAATTGCTCGCTTGTTGTAGAAGCTAGAGAAAAAGTGAATACCAACTTTTTTATCAACTTTGACCAGTTCTATCCAGTGGCGTGCCCAGAATTAGGCGACCGTTTTCCGTTTCGGAGAAATTGACGCTTTTTCGATAAACAGTTTTTCGGCATTTGCTCGCCAACCTTTTCTCCAAAACTCTGGAAAAAGGCACTGCTCGATACCCTGGCAGATTGCGGACATTTTATCAAGAGCAACGTTTTTCGCTGCGACTGGCGGTTTTCGTGAAAAAATATAAAACGTGGTTTTTGAGCAAAATTCCGGGGTTAAGACCCGATAGGATTTTCCGGCAAAAACCCAAAGTTTTTTTTGGGGAAATTTTTCATTGCAGGGCGTTGCATGTGGGCAAAACACATGCCGGAAACAGTCCAGAAGTTTAATTGGGCCCAGTGGGGCAAATTCCCCGATAAGCCCCATATAATGGCCTGCCCGCCTGAAGATGGCCAATATCGTCCAACGCCGTAGAGTGGGGGGATGGTTTATATGCAACTTGGGTGGAGGGGGCTTGGGGTTACCCGCACCCCAAAAATGGACGGGGCCGCTAATTGGGGGGAGTCATCGTTGTTTGCTAAAGTTTCAGAACTCAATTTTCTCGCAAACTACTCATCGGGGATTTTTGAAAAAATCCCCAAAAAACACCTTGGGACCTTCCGAACGTTTCATCAAGAGCGACTTTTTTCGATTGGAGGCTTCGCGCGTGAGCAAAAAACCCCCAAAGTGATTTTCGGGCCCCCGGTACATCGGTGGCACGAAAAAATGCTGAAACTGAGCAAAGAAAGAGAGGAATCTGCGGCCCAATCAGACGCACATTCATAGATAGGTTGATGGTACCCATTTGGTTCGGCGAGGCATTTTAACGAACCCGATTCGGACACCTTGAACAAGCCGCCCAAATATTCCCTAATTGGGAAAAAGCGAAATAACGGCCGGATTTCGGCAAATTATGCGAACTAATGAGGGCGCGGGTTCCTTGAAGATCGTGGGGCAAAAAACCCAGTGCACGTCTATGCATGCAGAGGCCGGTTCCCACGCCTACTGGCCCATAGAATAACCGGCATAGAAGGCTTTGCGGCCTGCTGGAACCACGGAACCACTGCTGCTGTTGATTCGATTAAGACGCCCGCAATTCGAATTGAATCTTTTTCCGCTTCCAAACCAATTTGCCGTTGCGGTAAGCCAATTTAAAATCGTTTACGAAGATAATGGGCCGAGGCGTCGGAAAAAATTCAATGGGAAAATGGGAACCCGCTCGGGTACCGGCCGATCGCCGATCAATTCATATCGGCCGCATGCTGAATCATGCGGATGGCGCATCGTTTTCGGTACCCGGGCAGGTGTTTCGCACTTACCTTGCCAGCGGCATCATCTTCAGGGCGAGGGCGCGGCTCAGACAGAACCCGGCACCGCCCGTCGCGAACCAGAACCGCACCATCTGCTGAAACAAACAATTTTTGCGTTAGCAATTGCATTGGAGACTGAAGGTTCCCCACATGAAACCCTGAAGATGGCTAACGCGCGCGAAATCCGCCCTCGTTCGCCTAAAATCGAGCTTCTCAGCCAATTCTAGCGTGACTTGATGCGTCACACTTGGCATCTAGCGCGAAAACCACGCCCCCTGGGTTCACTTGTTGCCCGCCTAAAGTGCCCCCTGGCGGCCAAACCGTGCGTCGCAGATACCAAGTGCGACCCATCAAACCAGGCTAGAATTTCCCGGGGAGTCCGAATCTGGACACCGATACTGGGTGGCTCAAAATTTTACCGCTTCCAACCAAATCGGCCAGCCCGTTCAACGATAAACCCGGGCGATTAACGCAGGTGTATTCAATTAGGAGGAATTTACGGTCGCGATTCGCTCGCATCCAGTGCGGAAACGATTAATAAGACGAATAAATGCAAAAAGTCCCCGGCTCCGGACGGCTTTTTCGCTCGCATAATGAGCACGCAGGCCAATTGATCAATCAATTGATTTATGAACTGAAGAACCAGTTCGATTGCAGCCCGTTTTCGCCTAATTGGACGCGCCATTCACCAGCAGATATCTATAAATTTATATATAGATATATAGATATGTGAAAGGCAAAAACGCCGGCGTGCTTGGGCGTGGTCGGGCGGCCGCTACCGGGTCAATTGGGTCAGCATTAAATGCGCCGTTGCACTTTTATTCCGCCTGATTTACTGGGCGAGGAACCCAAGCGTGAAACTCCGCTTTTCGGACAAAAATCCTGCACTAACGGTTTCTAATCTAATACAGAACCGGACTGGACATTTGCAACTTGCCCAACCACCCTAGTTATACAGCTTCGCCTGCCACGCCACAGATGGCGCCAGCCCGTTCCATCTCACCGCCCAGGGCGGTTTGCGGGAAAATCGGGTTCGCAAAACTCACCGATTTCTTGTCTTTGCTCACGATTTCCAAGGGTGCCTGGATGGAGGGTTTGCCCAGGTACCAGTCTTCTCTCGGGTTGTAGTCGGCCAGGAACCGCACCAGTCTGGGCACGTTCACATAGTTGTCGTCGTCAAAGTGGCAGAACCACCTGCAATCAACAAAAGAACCACTGAGTGACACCGGATATACGCAATTGGTACCCGCGCGGGTACCAGTTGCGATAAGAACCCAAATCTAATCAGTTGCGGTTCGGATGTTTTCGAAAAAACCACGAAATTTCGATTTGAAAGCGGCAGTTGAATGGAACCAGTGTGTGACGGAACGCGGTTGTGAGCGGTTTCGGTAAGTTTTCACTTTCTACACGTGCAGTTGAGGTCGTTTGCCTGCGATGCATCAATCAGCCAGCTTTGAATGGCTGGCAAAAAAAAATCGCCAAAAATCCCCCCGATTCCCCAAAGCKCTCATTTTTRCTGCACGSATAGCCTCGAATGSCCTCTATTTAATGGTGTTTGAGGCAACGTTCTACCTGCCCCAGATTTTGAGGAATTAATTTTCAAAGCCCGAGATGCACAGTTGAGAAAAGTGCGAAAGATTTTTTGAAAAAATCGTCAAAAATTCCCCGTTGTCGCCAAGCTTGTCATATTTCCTACTTGAGTAGCCCTCAACGTCCTCTATTTCGTGATGTTTGAAGCAACGTTCTACCTGCCCTAGTTTTTGAGGAATTAATTTTCAAATTCTGAGTTACACAGTTGAGAAAAGTGCGGATCATTTTTTGAAAAAATCGCCAAAAATTACCATAGTTTCCAAAACCGGTCCGTTTTACTACACGCGTAGCCTCAAACGCACTCTATTTAATAGTCTTTGAGGCAATCATCTAGCTGCTCTAGATTTTGAGGAATTAATTTTCAAAGCCAGAGGTGCACAGTTGGGAAAAGTGCGGAAGATTTTTTCAAAAAATTGCCGAAAATTCCCCGAATCCCCCAGGCTGGTCATTTTTGCGGGTTGCGTAGCCTCAAATGCTCTCTATTTAATAGTGTTTGAGGCAATCATCCAGCTACTCTAGATTTTGAGGAATTAATTTTCAAAGCCAGAGGTGCACAGTTGGGAAAAGTGTAAAAGATTTTTTTTAAAAATCGCCGAAAATTCCCCGCAATTGCCAAGCCTGTTCATATTTTCGGGTTGCGTAGCCTCAAATGCTCGCTATTTCGCGGTGTTTGAGGCAACTTTCTACCTGCCCTAGTTTTTGAGGATTTAATTTTCAAAGGCAGGGTTGCACAGTTGAGAAAAATGCTGAATATTTTTAGAAAAAATCGCCAAAAATTCCCCGAAAGTCTTCTCAAAAAATTCCTTTACCGACCTGGTAGCCTCAAGGGGCCTCTATTAAGTCGAATTCAAAGCAACCTCTTACTTGCTCTGGTTTTTGAGGAATTAATTTTCAAACCCAGAGTTGCACAGTTGAGAAAAGTGCTCAAGGGTTTAGAAAAATATCGCCAAAAACTGCCCCAAAAATCTCCCCAAAACCTGATTTTCTGAATTGATGGCCCCAAATGTCTTCTATTGCGGGAGGTTTAAAGCCAGCCTCTACCTGTGCCAGATTTGGAGAAATTAATTATTGAATCTCAAGAAACAATATCAGAGCAAATGGGCAACGTTGCTTGAAAAAATCGCCAAAAATCCCTCAAAAGCGTTCCCCAAACCCCATTTGCTGTCCCCACAGCCCCAAATGCCCTCTTTTCCACGCAGTTTCAACCAACCCTCTACCTGCCCTGGATCAAGAGGAAATAATTATTGAATCCACTAGAGCAACTTAAGAGCAATCGGAGAGCTTCACTTTAAAAAAATCGCCAAAAATCCCCCAAAGACCTCAAAACCCCATTTGCTGCTCCAACAGCCTCAAAAGCCCTGTTTCCAACGCAGTTTCAATCAACCTTCTACCTGCCCTGGATCAAGAGGAAATAATAATTGAAGCCACATCAGCAACCTGGGAGCAATCGGGGGGCTTTACTTGAAAAAATCGCCAAAAATCCCTCAAAAACCTCCTCAAAACCCCATTGGGTGCCCCCGAAAGCCTCAACACGCCTGCACGGAAAGCAGTTGAAACCAATCCTCAATCTGCTCCAGTTTCGGAGCAAACATCCAAACAACCATGGCAAAATACGCTCAAAAAGAGGGCGTGGAACTGGATGAGGACGAGTTTGACACCTACACCGAACCCTCCACAGGTACACGGAACCTCCCCTCAATTGAGGCACTAAACGGGCTCCTTTCCAGGCCAACTCCTCTCAGTGAGGCGGTTCACTTGGAGAACCACCTCCGGAGTTTCCGTCCAAGTGATCACCTACGGAGCGACGATCACGTCCATTAAAATGCCCGATCGCAATGGAACCATCGATGACATTGTCATGGGGTTCGATGACATGAAAGGTAGTGGGGGCTGGTTGCCTGGGCAACCAGCCTCCACTCACCCCCGATTGGTTGCAGGCTACCTCCAGCCCCTGAACCCCTACTTTGGGGCTACTGTGGGCCGAGTGGCCAACCGCATTGGCTCCGCTACGATCACCATTGACGACCAGACTTACCACCTTACCCCCAATCTGGCCCCCCACATGCTCCATGGAGGGGCCAAGGGCTTCGACAAGGTAGTGGGGGCGGGCATAGGGGCGTGGCCGCGTCACTAATGGGCGTTTCCAGGTGAATTGGAGTCACCATGTCAATGGAACTGACGTGGTCCTTAGTTGCCTGTCCAGGGACTTGGAGGAGGGGTTTCCCGGCGACGTCATCACCACGGTGACGTATCGGCTCACCAACGAGAACCGCCTGGAGGTGGAGCTGCGCTCCACCTCCACTCGCCCCACCTTTGTCAACCTCACCAATCACTCGTAGGTATTTGGTTTTTAGCTTCCTTTGGACTTGAACGCTTGTTGCAGCTACTTCAACCTGGCGGGACACGCCACTGGCTCGAGCGCCCTCTACCAGCACCTCTTGGCCATCAACGCCGACCAGACAACGGACGTGGACAAGGACTCGATCCCGACAGGTAGGGGGCGCTGTTGCCCATGCTCCACTCCCTAACACTGGCAACTGTGTAGGCAAGCTGCTGCCAGTGGCGGGGACGGTGTTCGACCTGCGCATCCCCCACCCGCTGGGGGCGGTGATCGACAAAGTCCCCCACTACGAGGGCTTCGACCACAACTTCTGCATCACCAAGGGAACGGGCCAAGGGGGCGCCTTCGTCGCCCGAGCAGAGCATCCGGGCACTGGTGAGTGGGACACATTGCACCTCTCATGGGGCTACAGCGGTTCGAAACAGGGCGGGCCTTGGAGGTCTACAGCAACCAGCCAGGGGTGCAGTTCTACACCAGCAACCACATCCAGAGTGGGACGTTGTCTGGAAAGGGCGGGGCCTCCTACGGCAAGCACGGCGCCTTCTGCTTGGAGACCCAAAACTATCCCGATGCCGTCAACCATGTGAGTTTACTTTAGGGTGGGGTTACCCCCACCTTTTCCTGACCTGGATGTTGCAGGCCAACTTCCCCCCAGCCGTGCTGTATCCAGGCCAGCTCTACCTGCACCTAGTGGAGTACCGGCTGTTCGTAGACTAGGCAACCGCGCAATTACCAATCCAAATAAACCACTGTAATCGATATCTAATCGCAATAAAAGCCACTCGACTGGAAATGAGTTGCCCACGACCAGTTTTTGACTGAACGTTTGGTTCAGGAGAAAAGAATGGAAAACTATCGAATAAAGCGGTTTTGAGCAGTTAGAGGTGGTTTTCTGTCAACTCCTTTGAGTGGGGGAGCGCGTTATATGCAGGTTGGGTGGCGCMCCYCTGGGGCTACGCCMCGMCMCAAAAATTTCCRGRGGGGCWTATCGGGGGGAGTYGTCGTTGTTTGCTGAAGTGRGAAAAACCACTCATTTGCCTTTTGCGCCAAACCCATTCGTGAGGGAACTTTSGAAGAATTTCCAGTGGATGCCTATGGGCGTGCCCCAGCTTTAAYCAAGAGCAACTTTTTTCGACTGMACGTTTGGTTTAGGAGAAAAGAATGGAAAACTATCGAATAAAGCGGTTTTGAGCAGTTAGAGGTGGTTTTCTKTCAACTCCTTTGAGTGGGGGAGCGCSTTATATGCASGTTGGGTGGYGCACYTCTGGGGCTRCGCCCCGACACAAAAATGTCCAGGGGGGCATATCGGGGGGAGTTGTCGTTGTTTGCTGAAGTGGGAAAAACCACTCATTTGCCTTTTGCGCCAAACCAATTCGTGAGGGAACTTTCGAAGAATTTCCAGTGGATGCCTATGGGCGTGCCCCAGTTTTAATCGAGAGCAACTTTTTTCGACTGAACGTTTGGTTTAGGAGAAAATAATGGAAAACTATCGAATAAAGCGGTTTTGAGCAGTTAGAGGTGGTTTTCTTTCAACTCCTTTGAGTGGGGGAGCGCGCTATATGCAGGTTGGGTGGCGCCCCTCTGGGGCTACGCCACGCTCCAAAAATTTCCAGGGGGGCWTATCGGSGGGAGTTGTCGTTGTTTGCTGAAGTGGGAAAAACCACTCATTTGCCTTTTGCGCCAAACCCATTCGTGAGGGAACTTYCGAAGAATTTCCAGTCRATGCGTTTACTTTAGGGTGGGGTTGCCCCCATATTTACCCCCACCTTTTCCTGACCRGGATGTTGCRGGCCAACTTCCCCCCAGCCGTGCTGTATCCAGGCCAGGTCTACCTGCACCTAGTGGAGTACCGGCTGTCCGTAGACTAGGCAACCGCGCAATTACCAATCCAAATAAACCACTGTAATCGATATCTAATCGCAATAAAAGCCACTTGACTGGAAGCGTTCAAATGCGCCCCAATCGCCCATGAGCGGTTCATTCAGTGCGAGATGAGCTGCCCACGACCAGTTCCTCTGACCGTCGACGCCTTCGGCTCGCTGCCCGACCAATCAGGAGCCGCCAGGGAGGTGAAGCGGTTCACCTGGACCAACTCCAAGCGGACCACGGTGCAGGTGATCAACTGGGGGGCCACCATCACCTCCATCCAGCTGCTGGACAACGCCGGCCACCTGGAGGACGTGGTGACTGGATTCGACCATCTGGAGCAGTACCTGGGGCCGGACAATCGGTTTTTCGGCGCCACTGTGGGCCGCGTGGCCAACCGCATCGCTGCTGGGAAATTCGTGAGTTGGCAACCCTGCCTTGAGTACTGGCTTGGAGTAGTTACCCCCACTCTGGATAGGGACTGGCGGGACGCGAGTACAGCCTGGCAAAGAACAACAATGGCGTCAACCACCTGCATGGGGGGGTCAAGGGGTTCGACAAGGTGCTGTGGAACTACCATGTGAAGGGGAGCCAGCTGGTGCTCACCTACCTGTCCCCTGACTTGGAGGAGGGGTATCCAGGTGACGTGCTGGTGACTGTCACCTTCGAGCTGACCGAAGCAAACGAGCTGCGCATCGACTACCGAGCGGCGGCCTCCAAGCCCACGCCCATCAACCTCACCAATCACTCCTACTTCAACCTGGCGGGTCACGGGGNGGAAACTTCTGGATGTGGCGGGCACCGAGCTCGATTTCCGCCAAGCCAGACGTCTGGGCGACGTGATCAATCGCGTCCCCAACGCCAAAGGCTTCGACTTCAACTACTGCATTTCGAATCCGCCCGGCCAGATGGGGCTGGTGATGCGCGCCGTCCACCCGCCCAGTGGGCGGGGCCTGGAGCTGCACTGCGACCAACCGGGCGTGCAGTTCTACACTGGCAACGCCCTGCCCGAGGGGGATGAAATTCGCGGTAAGAGCGGCGCCATCTATCGCAAACATGGGGCCTTTTGCATCGAGACTCAGAAGTATCCGGATGCTGTCAACCAGGTGAGTTTCCCTGTGGAGGCGTGACTGGTTGGTGGAACTTGGTTGGTTTCCAGGCCCATTTTCCGTCAACCATTCTCTATCCGGGCGAGCAGTACCGGCATGTGGCAGTCTTCAAATTCACCCTGGATACGGCTTAGAGTGTGGCGAATAAAGCGGTTTTGAGCAGTTAGAGGCGGTTTTCTTTCAACTCCTTTGAGTGGGGGGGCGCGTTATATGCGGGTCGGGTGGCGCACCTTTAGGGCTACGCCCCGACCTAAAAATTTTCAGCGTGGCTTATCGGGGGGAGTTGTCGTTGTTTGTTGAAGTGGGAAAAAACACTCATTTGCCTTTTGCGCTAAAACAATTCGTGAGGGAACTTTCGAAGAATTTCCAGTGGATGCCTATGGGCGTGCCCCAGCTTTAATCAAGAGCAACTTTCGACTGAACGTTTGGTTCAGGAGAAAATAATGGAAAACTATCGAATAAAGCAGTTTTGAGCAGTTAGAGGTGGTTTTCTTTCAACTCCTTTGAGTGGGGGAGCGCGTTATATGCAGGTTGGGTGGCGCACCCCTGGGGCTACGCCACGMYCCAAAAATTTCCAGGGGGGCTTATCGGGGGGAGTTGTCRTTGTTTGCTGRAGTGGGAAAAAACACTCATTTGCTTTTTGCGCCAAACCCATTCGTGAGGGAACTTTCGAAGAATTTCCAGTGGAYGCCTATGGGCGTGCCCCAGYTTWAAYCAAGAGYAACKTTTTTCGACTGAACGTTTGGATTAGGAGAAAAAAATGAAAAACCCCYGTTTTTTGGKCCAAATGACCGAAAATCCCTCATGGCTCCCTTAGTAGTGGCTGTAGCAGCAAAATGCATATCAACATTTTCATAGCTTTTGACCTCCTCTATCTACTGGTGTGCTCAGCTTTGGTCCACCGACTCCCATTAGGGAGATAGTGGAGGTTAAGTGAGTCAACCGCGCCCATCCATTAAATACCCGCGTCCTCTCAACCCCTTTGAGTGCGGAGGTGCGCTATATGCAGCTCGGGTGGAGGGGACTTGGGGCTACGCCAGCACCAAAAATGGGCGGGCAGGACTATTGGGGGGAGTTATCGCCGTGCGCCACAGGTGGCCAACGGCCTTATCTGGCTGCCGGACGCCACTGGTTTAAATCGGCAACTGTTCAGAACAACAAACATCGCGCAGTGTCAACCGGCAAGCGGCAGCGTGCAGTTCACAGTGGCAAAATGCTGAAATCCTGCGAGAAATCTGCAGTGGAGCTCAAGACCAGCGCCTTCGGCTCCTACAGGGACCCCAGCGGCGTCTGCCAGCAGGTGCACAAATTCACCTGGACCAACCCGAACAAGCAAACCACCGTCGAGGTGAGGAACTTTCCCGAAAAAAATCCCCGCCTGGCAACAGGATGTTTTCGAACTGATAACCTTCCAAGCGATAAGAAGCTCGGTGACCATAAAATAAAGCAGGCCATACACTTCCCCACTAGGTGATCAACTGGGGGGCCACCATCACCTCCATCCAGCTACCCGACAAGACGGGCAAAATTGAGGACATCGTCACTGGCTTTGACTCAATCGAGGAGTACCTGGGGGAGAAGAACCGCTACTATGGCGCCACCATCGGCCGCGTGGCCAACCGCATAGCGCGCGCCAGCATGGTACGTTCCATCTCACTCGCACCCCCTTAGTTGCTAACCTCCCGCCCCAGACTGTAGATGGCGCGCGTTATCAGCTGGCAGCCAACAATGGGCCGAACCATCTCCATGGGGGCGAGCTGGGTTTCGACAAGGTGCTGTGGGACCATCGCACTGATGGCACCCGACTGATCCTAACCTACAATTCGCCCCACTTGGACCAAGGCTATCCGGGCGCTGTTCTCGCAACTGTCACCTTCCAACTGACTGATGACAATGACTTTGCGATCGACTACAAGGCGGTGACGACGCGCAGCACGCCTGTCAACCTGACCAATCACTCCTACTTTAACTTGGCGGGCCATGGAGCCGGCTGGGCGGGGCTGAAGGAGCATGAGATTGTCATCAATGCCGACCGGTACACCCCAGTGGACCCGGCCGGGATTCCCACAGGTAAAACGCCCCGTTTGTAGCGCGTGCGACAGAGAGCCGATGTGAGGGATGGCGCTAGTGTGGGCTAGGGTTATTTTTTTTTAAATTAAATACTTATTTTGAATTAAATCAATTTCAGGCCGCATCCTGGACGTTTCGGGCTCGGTGTTCGATCTGCGGGTGCGGCGACGTCTGGCCGACGTGCTTCATAAGGTGCCCGGCGCCCCTGGATTCGACCACAACTTCTGCATCCAGAAGCCTTCCGTCCAGGTAGGGCTTCCCGATTGTTTCCTGGATATTGACCAAAAACCCCCAACAGGACCTGGCCTTTGTGGCCGAAGTCCAGCACCGGGACTCCGGCCGCTCGATGGCCCTCTACAGCAACCAGCCGGGCGTTCAGTTCTACACGGGCAACTTCATGCCTGAGGATGACAGCAGCCGGGGCAAGCTGGGCGAAACGTATCGCAAGCACGGCGCACTCTGTCTGGAAACGCAAAACTACCCCGATGCCATCAACCAGCAGGTAGGTTGACATAGTGGGCCCCTTCCGGATGCATAGTGGGCCTGTTCCAGGCCGATTTCCCGGCCGTTGTGCTGCGTCCAGGCGAACAGTACCATCATGTGGCCATCTTCAAGTTCCGCCTGTTGGACGTCTGACGTGCTCGCGGCCAATCAATCAATTACTCCGGCCTGGTCATCAATTGAACATGTTGCCGCCTCCTCCGCAAATAAACGCAACGATTAATCACAGCCATGATTAATCGAAACGAACAAACCAATCGATAATTCGGCCAACAATTAATTAAAATCCTTTCGGCTCAATGTCGACCCGAACTGGTCCAATCATTTAGCATTGTGTCGGTTCCGTGACCGCACAGAGGCTTCCGACTGGGTCTGATGACCGCCGAAATGGCCGAAACGTCGCCGGGGGGGCGTTACCCTTTAGACTCAGCCGCCCGACTGGAACTGGGACTTTGTTGGTGATCGGGGAGGGGGGATGCGGTGATGCCACATTATGCCGGAAATACCCCAAAACAGGATTTTTTTGGCGGATTTGCACGATGCCCCTGAAATGACGTGAAATATCGAATTTCCGGGAGTTTCGCGTTACTCGAGGGAGTTTTGCGTCCGACACCTGCTTAACCGGGGCAAACAGTGGCGTGCGCTCACAAAATCTGGGGAAAAAACCCGAAAACGTCAATAGCTGCCCAACTAGGCGGTTTAGGCGAAAAACTAAGAGAAGGTTTTTTACGCGTTCTGAGCTGCTCCATCCAGAATTTTCCGGTTGTCTCTGCTTGAGGGGGGGGGAGGTACTGATTTTTAGTACCTTTTTGGCATTTGCGTCCCTGCTATTCAGTGGGGGGTGGGGGGAGGTTGGAACAAACGCCCATCGATCCCTGTTGTCATTCCCCACTTTTCAGCAGGAGCAACATTTCGCAGAAAAAAATTAAAAAGTGTTTTTTACTGCAAAAAAACGCCCTTTTCCCCCCGAAATCCCCATCAAATGCCCCCATTTTCACACACTGGTTTTTTACAACGTCTCTGACTGGATTTAGCAGGAATTAGTGGACTTGGGGATTTAGGGGGGGGGCGTTCCCATTTAAACCCCATGCAAATTGGGTGCGAGCCACTGCAGAGTGAGGATGACGGATTTTCGAAACTTTTTCACTCAATTTGGGTGAGTTTCACTGGTTTCAASCAGCTGCATAAAAATTCSTCGCGTCAAAAATTGGCAAAAATTTCGAAAATTTTCCCCCCAATTTTTGGGCCAAAACCAGAAAATCGCCCCTTGCTCGCTTATTGGTGGAGGGAGAAAAAAAGTGAATACCAACTTTTTTATGCGCTTTCACCCGCCCGTTTAAGCGGCGTGCTCTAAATCGACATATCGTCTTTCGTTTCGGAGATATTTACAGTTTTCCCTAAACAACGTTGCCGCCCTTTTCTCCCCAACCGTTGGGAAAATCGTTCCGGCAAATTGCCCACTAGACACCTCTGGACAATGCCGACTTTTCCTAAAGAACAACGTTTTTCGCTGGTAGGCTTGGCTGAGCAGCAAAAAAATAAAATGTGTTTTTCGAGCAAAATCCCCGGGGTTTGGCCCGATGATTTTTCGAGGCAAAAATCAAATTTAGTTCCCGAAAATTTTTGCTGCGCAGGACTTTGAATATGGCCAAAATACAGGCGCAAAACAGTTCAGAAGTTTCCCCAAAAAATTCCCCGTGCAACTAGGGGGGGAAAACCGAACGCTCTCCACAGGCTCTTATGGGGGCGCCGCCTTCAAACCGCCCTAATTCTCGCAATTTTGCCCCCAATCTGCTGAAACTTGCACCAGAGCTGTTGGAAACCCGCCGCAACCCAACCAGCCGGAAAACTCCCCAGTGAAACACTCGGGAGGGGAGCAGGCAGTCCCCATTTAACCCCCGGGACGCTTGGGTTCGACCACACCGTGAAATTCCTCAAACAATCAGCAATAAAAAATCAGGAAAAATTCCTGCAGGGTCCCCAATCGCCTTGGAACATCCCCAAAGCATCCGGGCACCTTATCAGAAACACCTCACTCTAGCAGAAGAAAACCCGCAAGTTCCCCAGCGAAAAAACCCCCAATTTGCCCCAATTTCCCGTGTTTTCCGACCGAAAAAAAATCGCCAAAAACCCCCGGTTTGTCCAATTGGAGCCCGACGGGCTCCAAACCCGAGAAAACTAATCAGCCAATTAAACGCCGACCCTGGAAATTAGACAACAAGGCCGTAATAGTTGAGATAATCGAATTAGAGACGTGAGCATTCAGGATGTAAATAATCATCCCATTTACATGTAAATCGAAGCGTTCCACACATTATAAGTGGCGGCAACACCGCTGCCCGGCTTAATCTGATCACACGAGTGCAACACGATCGAACCGATCGGAAACGCACCTGCTGGAAAAGGACGCAGCTACTAGCTGGGTCTTTTTCATACGCGCTCCGTCCCTGTCCCACTCGTTGCTCAAATTTTTTGATAAAATCGGCTAATTACACGTTTCGAGCACCCTGATGATGAACCCAAACCCACCGGTTGCGCGTAACAGACGCCAATTAGGCAAAATCTTGCTTAACTGGTCATTGAGACTCGTTAAAGGCGATTAAGGCGGTTTTAATCGAGATCAACTGGCCGGGGATTAAAAATGTGTTTTAATTCTCGCTATTTTCGGCCGTTTTGTACGGGGGCCGCTGATAATCGATCGCATTTCACGCGATAATTCGACGTAATTTCGAGGCGTTTTTCCGCTAAACCGCGTGCGACGCAACAAAATTAAATTCGGATAATTGGAAAAAAAATGCCGAGTCACATTGGCCTACGAAGAACCACCCAAGCTGAAAGTTTCAGATCGGTGGCCAGTGCGGTTCTTATGGGGATGGCTGGATTGTTTGATGGTTTAGAGACAAAGTTCAAAAGAGGTTTTTTGTGGGGAATTTCCCCCCCTTTCCAGTGATCTGCTTGGATTTCCCCTGGCACTTTGGGTTTTGGAGCTACTGGGTTTTTTTCGGAGTTTTGCCCCCCTCTTGGCTGATTGAGTTTTTGACCGGGAAATCCTTCATTAGCTCACTTATTTGTTGGTTTACAGGCAAAGTTCAAAAGAGGTTTTCTATGGGCAATTTCCCCCCCTTTCCAGTGGCGTGCTTGGAATTTTCCTGGAACCTTCGCTTGCCGAGATACTCCGAGCTTTTCGGAAAAAGCACATTTTAATGGCGGTTCTTGTAAATTTTTGCCCTTATTTTGGGCAACACTGATAGTCTTGGGGCACTTCCAGCAATTTCCAGCGAAATTTTCATCAAATTTGATTGAAAAAAAATTGGACCAACTTCGAAGCGTTTTCCCCAGATTTGGCCCCAAAATCCTAAAACCGGCGGTGGCGCGCTTGTGGGGCATGCTAGAGGAAAAGTGAATACCGACTTTTTTATGCATCTTGACGCCCTCCGTGCAGTGGCGTGCTCGGAATTTTTCCACCCCGTCTCGTTTCGGACATATTGACACTTTCCTCGAAACAACGTTTCGGTCATTTGCGCAACAACCATCCAAGTGAGCGCTTTGCGTTCATCACCGTTAGATGGCCGGTGGGAGCGCGGAATTTTCCTCAAGAACAACCTTTTTCGGTGGAAGGCTTTGTTTAGGCGCAAAACAATCAAAAGGGAAATTTGCAAAAAAATCCAAAGACATTATTGGGGAAAAAAAATTTGGGGTTTTGAAAAATGTTCTTTCACAGGGCGTTGAACACGCACAAAATACGAGCAAGAATCACTTGAAGAGTTTCCCAACCAGCCTCAATTGACCCCCACTAAAGGGAAACCCCCCTCATTTAACCCCTCATGTTAAGTGAGCGCAAACAATCGGCCAGTAAAAATCAGGAAAAATTCCTGGGGGGCCCCCAATCCCCAAGACATCCGGGCCCCCTTCCCGAAGACCCCACTCGAAAAACACAAAAACTGTCACTTCCACAGCGAAAAAACCCCCATGTTGGCCCCACCCTCACCTGTTGCCGCTCTGGAAAAAAAATCGCCAAAAATCCCCGAAAACCCCAATAGCGGCCCTTTTGGCCCCAACCGATAGAGCCCTAATTGGGCCACCAACTCCCTGAAAAACCCCCGCAAAAATCGGCAAGAACCAACCACTGGAACGTTGGAATGACGTTATTTGCACGTGGCCACTTCGGACGTTGTTTTAACGTAGTTTTAACGTAATTTTGCGCAATTTCTTCAATAAACCGCACGGAATTGCTGGGATCGAGCGCTAGAAGGGCTCAAAGCGCCCTCATCGCACTGATTAAGGCCACAAAACACACTTACTTTTTGTCGGTGTTTAAAAATGTATCAAACTCGACTGACATCTTGCAGCAAAGCGCCTTCCGATTGTGGGACGACGAGCAGTTCGTGTTGATCATGTGGCCATCTGAAACAGCAAGAAAAATATCGTTAATTTGGTATTCTTGGGAAGCAGAAGAAGTTTCCCGGTTGGAACGAGACGCGCATAAAAGTGGGCTTGAGGCGCGGAAAACATGCAGAAAGGCCGATTGGACAGGACGATAAGCCAGTCGAGACACAAAGAAACGCTCTCAGGTGAAGATAATTATGCGCCAATTCGACCATGGAAATACACCTGGCGTAGGGAAACTGAGACATTCGCTTTAGCGATTTCGCCACAAATTTGCCTCTGGCGTCTCGGCGAAGCACGCGATTGAAAAACTTCCTGAATGAAAGTTAACCAGCATCAAATCACCGATAAACTGATGGTCAAAAATTGCAAATCGCTCTCCAATTAGAGGAGCTATGGGCAAATGAATTTGGCCCACTGGTCCCATCAGAGCCCCAACACGTAGCCAACTTCAAAAGGGCCTGGAGCCCTAGTGGGAAGCGCAGCTGGAAAACTTTTTTGACAAAAATCAAAGAGCGTCCAGTTTTCTTTAATTTGCTGTTGGAAAATTCCAGCTCGGCCCCCTATTGGCTCAGCTGCAGGCAAATGAGTCTAGCGCACTCCCTACCCCACTGTCTCCTATTAGTTGCCCAACTTCAAAAGCGCCTGGAGCCTTAACGAGAAAACCAATCGAAAAAGTTTTCCCACAAGACTTAAAGAGCGTCCATTTATCTTTAATTTGGCGTTCAAAAACTCCGGATGGACTTCCAATCAATTGGGCCACATGCATTTGAATCTGGCCTCTGGCCTTTCCCAGTGGGGTTCAACATACGCACTTTCAAAAGCTTCTGGAGCCTCAGCCAGACGGGCTATCGCAAAACTGCCCCAACACCAATCAAAGAGAATCAAATTGTCTTTAAAACGGCCCGTTCCGAAGTGAAATCAGTCGATAAATGGGCGAGCCACCGGCAAAAGAACAAACGGGCAAAGCCAATCGTCGTGCCGCAGAAAAAGCGGCAACTTAAGCCCCCGAAAAGACCGCAAATCCCATGGAATCATAAATGGCCCGCTAAGCCACTGCTGATCCTCGAACTCCCGAGGGAACTGAACGGGAAACAGTGCGTCCATTCATTAACAAAAAAAAAAAAAAACGACAAAAACGCCTCCACGCCCTCAGGGTCAATGCCACTATTTGGATCAAGTTACCGATTTTATTCCGATCGTAATTGCATTGTTTGCACCAGATGTGAATGTGCTACTTACTGGTCTTCAGCTGGAACTCCTCGTCATCCGTATCAGTGAAGAACCACGTCTGAAACAGAAGAAAGCGACCGTTAGTGAAGGTGCCATCGACACGCCCGCTTGCCAATCTAGCGGATTTGCGTGTAGAAACGTTGAATTGATGGGGGGCAAATGAAGAATGGGTCGGTGAGCCCGAAAGGGGGGCTGAAACAACTGCAAGTCGCGTGCAACCCGTGGGAATCAAGCGGCCCTTTAGGGTAGCGGACTAAAACGGTCGGCATGTCGCCGATTACCCCAATAAACCGAGGAAAATGGCTTTGGTGTGTAGATAATCAATCGTCAGAGGCTTCAGGCCATTGCCAGTGGTTCTGTAGAACGTCATGTGCTTACACAAGTGGTTCGAGTGGGCCGCCCAAGTACCACCATGTGTAAATTGTTTATTCAGCCTAGACTCGCCGTGCCGCCACTTCAACAGGCTTCGCTTCGTGTTTTGGCTTCTTCGTGCTGGTGCCGTGATGAAATCGAAACCCGGCCGCTTAGTGGTGCTTGATGGTGCCCGTTTAGGTGCCCTCAGGGCGGCAGGAACACCGAAAGGGAAAAGGCCCGGGAAAAATCGCCCG